ACGGCAAAATTACAACTTTCACTTTCAATTTCCATTGCTATAACTGTGTAAATGCACCTTCCTTGTTAAGCCACTGCAACCATTTGGGGGAGAGAATACAGATATCACAGAGCGATGTGTATACTGCCTTGCTCACAAGTGTTCGGTATTATCTGCCACAAAAACCATCATGTAAATCAATCGGTATTGCTGGCCTTTTTCCACTTCACCATATGACTAGACCTCACAAATAACTAACGCTGAATACCACACACAGACCTAATTAAATAAAGATGGTACGTTTGACACTTATAAGCCAGGACACTCAACATTTTCTTTTTGAAAGGTCTGTTTGTAGGGTATTTTGTAAGAGTTCTCAGGAACAGAAATCTAACTATTAAAACATTATTCCTGTACCAAGTAGACCAGAACACTAATTATGCATAGTATGCACTCAAAATCCTTGTAAAAACAGCTATCTATAAAGGTTAAAAAAATCCCCTTAACTGCTTTGTAGGCTTAACCCACTAAAATACCTACATATTAAGGGAAAAAAAAAGATTTAAAACTCCCAATTGGGGAAAAAAGCAAACAAAACTCTGCCACGAAATCCAGTCTGCAAAGCTACCAGCAACATTTGTACCTTCAGAAGCAAGACAAAAAAACCCCCAACTCTCCGATTTCTGGATGACTAGTTCAAAAAGAAGTATATTCAAATTTAGCTACACAAATGCAATTATTTTAGATTAATTCTTCAACAAAAGTTCACAGGCAAACTTCCTGCAAAATCCTCACTGTGTAGATAAGACTGAAAAATAAAACCTACTGGAACTGTTTTACGGGACCATTTCCTGGGTTTCAGGCTTTTAAATTCAAGCAGCATATAAAGAAGCATTCACATTGTGTTTGAAAGGCAAACAATGCAACATTTAAAAAAATATAATCCGAGAGTTGTATTGTTAAGCGCAGCGCTGCTTTTATATAGTTAAGTAGTACGCTGTCAAACTCCAAACACAAGATACTTGAAGCAAAGACGACAGGTTTCTCCCATGCTCGTTAAAAGAAAAACGCTGTCAAAGCTCAGTAAACAACTGTTCAAGAATTAAACCTGCCTGAAAGATTCAAGCATTTCCACCGAATCGAACAGCGCAGTCACTTACTGCAAAAGCAAGTACTTCAAAAGACTCACAACAGTGAAAAGAAAGATGATTTGTAAGGGGTAAAAGAGCTGGATTTGACTTGTTGCCTCCACAATTTACAAAGAATATCTTAAGCTAGTAAAGTTCAGAGAGATCAAGAGCAGCAAATTGTTTTCCTTACTTTTGGGGGAAGACGAGATTACATGACCGTATGCCCTCAACTGACAGGATAAGGTGATTCAGTCTTTCACAAAGGGTGTTTCTCACAAATATCTCAGGACTAAATTAATGTTAAGAATAAAAATTACATGTTTCAACGACCTCTTCCAGGGGATCACCAAAACTGGACACATTTTCATCAGAACCTCTGGGCTTCAGGAATGTTTGGAGCCCACCGAATAGTCAGCAAAGAGCTACGATCTAACGCCAGATCAAATTAGTAAAAAGCAGGTGCGTTTAGGATCTCTGCACCCTGGAGAGACATACAGATGCATTCTTTATCAAACAATAACCTTTCGCTACAGAAGCAACGCGAGATCATCTATAAATGAACAGAACTGCTCGTCGCTTTGAAGTACTTTCAGCTCTTCTCTCTTCACGGAAACACAACCGCTTCCAAGGTCGAACCGAAATGCAGTTCACGTAAAACTTTAAATCCTACACATCTCAGTAATATTAAAAGAGCTCATCTACACAGCGTGCTAGAAGCTTACACAGCTTTGTAATCGTTCCACAAATAAGGTGCGGAATCAAATGTCTCGCATCAAAAGACCATCTTCCTTTTGGTCAGATGGCTTTTACAGCATGCGGTAGAAAACCATCGAGTGGGACAAATCCCAAACAAAAGCCACTTCACAACCATGAGGGCTCTAATACGTTCCAGTGGCAATGGGTCCTGAATTGCTGTTTTCCCTATTTGCGCCCAGACATACACACACACACACTCTCATACCTACCCTTCATTTAAGCCAATTCAAGAGTTTCATCACTGACTAATATTACCATATATTAAGCAAGCTGAAAGAGCAAACACAAGATCGAACCTTTAATCTTTTCAGCCAATGGTTTTTCTTCAAGCCGTTGAAACAAAGGGTTTTTTATCTGATGCTGCAGGCTGCTGCACAGTTTATATACTGAATCACAACATTTTTCCATATTCAGAAATTAAACTCCCACTTAAAAGGTTATGATAAAAAGCTGGGCCACGTTTTCCTGGAAATAAGCAAACAGAACAAAACCAATCAGAGGATAAGGAACTGAAGTGCAAATCTAGAGACCTGGGCGCTAAATCACAGCTCTAGCAATGACTCACTACCCCGCCGTGAAAAGGGAACCGCCTCTTTCCTGCGTCTGTGTTCCTACCTGTAACGTGAGAATAAGGTTTGGAAACCAAACATATGGAGGAAAAGCATTGTACAAGCATCTCCCTCAAATAACAGGACTGTCCAAACGTTTTCCCTTGCAAGAAAAGGCAAAGCCTGGCATAACACCTGCACTTGCCATCACAGTAAAAACAACGCAAAGCAAGATATACAGCAAGGCTGAGTTTGCATCAGGAGTGGAAATGGTTCAATACGGTGAGTAATTTAAAAGATGACACAGGGTATTCTCAAGTAACTATATTACTAATTAGAATAACCAGATTTGTTGTTTCTTTTCCCACCACACAAGTCACAAATCTTGCCAGTTCCCCAAACTCCTCCATATTTACGTACTGCAATCACTATGCCTACAAAAAAGCCTGGCCTCATACACTTGTAGTCTGTTCTTCCTCTCGCTATTAATTTCTACAGACAGCCCCAAAACTTGACTTCTAGAAAGCTTTTACACCCCGCGTAAAGCAGGAGTTTTCCACTGAACAAGTTATTAGACCAGCCAAGTGTCAGCATACCAGGATACATTTTGATATGGTTTCAGAAATAAGACCAACAATTATCCAAAGTCCATCATTTTTAACTGTTTTGGTAGAAGTTTTACTGGAGACTCTGCTCTACAATGGTTCTGTTTCCCCCCGCGCACGTTAGCGTTTCGAGCAGTAACAACACCACATTAAAGCACGTTATTTGTAAGACAAATCAATCTAAGGGTGGAATCTAAGTCGAGTCTTTTCCCCGGTGGATTGGAAAGAATACGTGCTTTCATTTTATTCATTATATACCGCATCTGAATTACTAAAGACATCTGCATGAAAACAATTTTTTTAAAAAAAAAAAAAAAAGCTCCATCTGTTCCTACTGCATATTTTCACTTGAAGTCCCAGCCTGGCATATATGGCGAAAATACGTGCGTCACGCTACAAGGACAAACATTAAAAGCAAAAAGTTCTCACTTTCATACAAATAACTAAAATAAACCAGGAAAATGTTATCGGAAAAGTTTCTAAACAGATGTTTAGAAGTTTTCTTTGGAGGCGCTAGATGCCGTTTTCCTAGCTGCGATGTGAGAGATGAACACACAGAGGAAAAAAAGCTCCTCTAAAGCGGATGGTTTTACTTCCTCCTCTGCCAGGGTGGGAGGAAGCGCCGCGCTACACCTGCTCCTCCTCCGGCTCTCCGCAACGCGCAGCCCCGACGAGGACGGACAGCCGCGTCCTGGCGCATTCATTCAATCGCACCCGGCTACTCGTTCACCTGCGTTGTGACACTTATCTGCCCCCGCAACTCTCCTACGACCCAAACGTGCCTTCATCGCCAACCGGCGTTTTTTAGGAATCCCCTGCAATTCACACGCAACCTTTCGCGTCTCCCACGGAGTCTCTCATCTCGATTATTTTTGCGTTCAGCTCGGTTTAACCGTTTCTGAACGGCCCAGCTTTGAAAAAAAATGCTTCTTCACGTGAAAGGGAACGCAAAAAACTACAATTCTTGGCTCAGAAACGAGACCTTTTATTAAACTGACTTGGAAACGGCAAAAAAAAACAACCTCAAAATCTAATTTTCGCCATGCTTTCGGGCTCAATGGCGAATCCCATGAAAAGGTATTTCAACCCGAAAGCTTGCAAAAGCGTGAAAAGGTATTTCAACCCAAAAGCTTGCAAAGGCGGCTTCCCTGAAAATGATATTTAAACCCGAAAGCTCGCAAAGGCGGCTCCCGTGAAGAGGCATTTAAACCCGAAAGCTTGCAATGGCGTGAAAAGGTATTTAAACCCGAAAGCTTGCAAAGGCGGCTTCCCTGAAAACGGTATTTAAACCCGAAAGCTGGCAAAGGCGGCTCCCGTGAAGAGGTATTTAAACCCGACAGCTTGCAAAGAAGTTTCCCTGGAAAGGCTGCGAAGCCCGAAAGCTTGCGAAGAAGCTCGCAGAGGCGCAAAGGTATCTAAATGCGAACGGTTGCACGGGCTGCTTTGCTGCACAGGTCTCGAAACCCGAGCGCGTGCCAGGGCGGCTGGCACGGAGAGGTGCAGGGTACACGCGGCAGGGTGCAAGGGCTGCTCCCCGGGAAGGTAGGGACGCGGCGAAGCTCGCTTGGGAAGGCGCTGAAAGGGGACCGCCTGCACGGAAGTTTGCAGCGGCCGTTTCCCCGGGCACGGTG